ACTGCAGGAAGTGGGGAGTGATGCAGGATATGATAAGGAAGGGATTAGAGAAGATAAGAGTTAATTGTCCTTCATACTAATGAGATGATAGTGAATGGATTCCTCTCCTTGAGGAAGAAAAGTTAGAACTGGTAAAAGTAGAAATGGTAGAACTTTATTAGGTAGATTACATCAAAGTCTTTTATTACATGTAAGAGGAAAATGTAATTGAGCGGGTGTGGGAGGGTTTTTGTTGTATATATATGTAATGTATATAGTTTTCAATGTTTTCCCATGCATGGCAAACACAAGTAGATGATCTCTCTCTCTCTCTCTCTCTTTCTCCCTCCCCCTTGGATGTGGAATACAAGTACATTCATTGTCTCTCCCCCCTCTCTTTTCTCTCTCTGAGTCTCTCTCTCTCTCTATCTCTCTCTCTCACTCACCCCATGGACATCCAATAAAAGTACATCTATTCTCTCTCTCTCTCTACCCTCTCCCTCCCTCCCTCTCCCACCCTCTCTTTCTCTCTTTCTCCTCTTCTCCTATGGACCTGCAATACAAGTACAAGTATATCCATTCTCTCTTCCCCCTCCCTTCCTCTCTCCCTACCAGACCATTGACATATTCAATTTAGAGAATAGTTGTGTCCCTAGTGACCACTAATTGCCTCGATGTTGGGACACCAGAAAGGATGCAGGAAAGCAACCTTATTTGGGGAAGTCATTTACACCTTCGCAAATAATATTTCAACACGTTTTTACCCCCTACGCACTAATTAACAGGTCTGTGAAGGAAAACGTGCAAAGTAAACACAGAGCTCTTTCATTCAACATAACAGAAGAAAATTCTGTTCTTTCCCGATCGATCGAGGTACTGCACATTCAGTTAACCATGGAAAGGACTGTTATGTCCAGCACTTCAACAGTAATTTTGCCCCAAATAAACTAATTCTATGGTTTTAAAACCATTTCAAAAGGTATTTTCTCTTTAGTATATATTACATTTCCTATTTTCCACATTTATTATATTTTTGACAAATGAAATCATATTGACACATCAAATCTTTCCACATACAAGTTTCCTTTCCATAATAATTTCTTGTGATCCCCTGCATGACAAGCTTGGACATATTCTGAAGCAGGTCCATGATTACCGGAAGCTTCTCAACTCCATGTTTTTTATCAAACTAGCGACCAATAATCTTTTTTTTCCTTTACGGGCCACCTATATTTCAAGACGATAATCTATAAAGAGAAGGAGCCTGTCAAATCATATCATATCATGCGCCTTGAGCATCTCTAGAGATGGATATGTTGCGCTTTATAAATATTGTTATTATACTGAGAAATGTCCAGGCACTGAACTGAAATCTGTTCAATGCACTATCCATGAAGATCATGTAAGAGAAGATAAAGATGAGGGGGGCACATAAAAAATATGTAGAATACAGAGAATGGACGTACTGGTAGAATAATTCCTGTCTTGCCCCATTCAGACTACAAAATTAATCCTACAGTGTATGTGAAAAACATAAAGCTACATATACCGATACATGTATTACAATAAGTAAGACATTATTTCTAGTTTAAGCGTTGTAAAGTGAAACATGATTCAGCATGATTTTTATTTTTTTAAAGCTCAATGCAGTCCTTCGGAATACGGTAAGGGTCCAACTCTAGCATCATACAAAAACCATTTAACAAGGCTTATGGCTTATTGTAAGCACACACCGATGATTGGCCAGCTGTCACGTCAACTGACCACTTTAATGCAAGTTTCTTTACACAATCCTTCTTTATACCATGCCCCTTTCGCTACACGATGATTCTTTATTTGTCGTTTCTTTCTGTGAGTTTCGTATCATTTCCCTCCGGTCTGAAGGGGCCTATGTCCTGGCAATATCAATATACCAGAGATGGTTCCCTGGATGGATGAGCCAAGATCCAAGAAAGAAAAACAAAGTAACTCCTATCAATTTGCCGCCAAATCCGATCAGGTAAGAGATGCCATCAAAACTGATTTTGAACAACTCATCTCACACAGCCTGTAGTCTGTACATGCAGACTAGTTCTAAGCCTTTTCAAATTATTCACAAGTATTTGCCCTTCCAAAGTAAGGCTGCATGTTTAGTGTATCATGCACTCTATGATAAAGAAATTACAATTCACACCTTCTTGTTCTCAAATCAAAGTCAATTTCAGGGAAAAGTACATATCACAATTATTGTTCAATAAAACTTAAGCTGGAAAGACTGATTTAAGTTTACAAAGACCAACTTCTTGCACAGACCAAACTCTATTCTGCAAGACACAAGAATTCATTAACTATTTATTACTAGACATATAAATTGAATTGAATTCTTTCGCAAACAAATTGTAATTCATTTTACTAGATGATAGAATAACAAAGCCTCAAATGCATTGTCATTTAGTTTGCAGCAATTTAGTTTAGTCCCTTTTTAAAGTGTTTAGGATAAAATTGTAGAGAGCATTTAGGTCTGAGACCCAGACTACAATTTACAAAGTCATATTTTGAGGGAGTTATCAATATGACAGACTGCTACCATGCAAAGCAATTTCTTTACATCCTTTCATCAAAGTACAATCACTTTTTATGAGCAGGAGGAGACATGTATGATAGACAAGGCATTGTCAGCTTCCAGTTATTGACATTTTGATACTTTTTAAAATGACATCATATACGGTCGACAAATTTAAATAAAAAACCTGTCAAGTTATAAATATATCTGTTCTACTCTGTTACAGTTTGTTCCTTTAAACAATTTGTAAGACATAGTTATCCTTTATATAATATATGACGCTATGATCTCTTGGAGTTTTAGATACTCACATATGAATGATAAATCATTATTTTTAATATGGCTTGTACACATGTCAATTTCAGCACACTCCAAGACATCTTAAGACTCATGGATGGATAAAGAATTTCACAATTTCAGAGAAAAAAAATGAATGTAACAATTAAAAGAACAGATTACAAGGCAGAGAACCCCCATAAATTCACATTTCAGAATAATCTGTTGACAGCATATCAAATACATTGCTAAAAGTTAAATGTCAGCATTTATATTTGTTCCTAATAAAATGTTTTATAGGAACACAAAGTGAATGAAAAATAAAAACATGACTCCTTCAGTGTCTTATACTGCCTTCAAATTGCTTCAACTTTAAAAACTCCCTGATAATAAAGATATATCATACTCTGCGCAAACAAATCTTTGGATGCAGTTTCCTCTTCATTGCCAAAATATTTTCTAAATAATATATTTATATATCTTATATATTTTCTTGAATACACATAATTCGATGAACTTTGGATATTAAGGGTTAATTGGTGCACCTACTCAGTCTGTAATAAATGGACCTTATCTCGATGGTAATGAACTTTGTGCGATGCCAACTTCGATACATGTCTACAGACTGCGTGAGATATCCTGGCTCATATGGAGTTCAACTTAGGTGTGTCAATGACATGATTTTAGATCTAGATGAATCATCAATGCTTGATCCAAATTGATTAATGGAGATGTCATTCTTCATGTGCTGACATTGCCAACCAAACTAGAAGCTGATTCATAGAACATTTTTTGCCAAATGTTGCAAATTAATGCTATGTAATTATTTTTTAAATCCACTTCTATTCCTACAGGGTGTCCACTAATTATTTGAAGCTTTCAAAGAGGTAGAAAGGGTTATCTCCATCATGTCTTTATTCTTGCCTTCTCTTCAAGCAACCTTCCACTTTTTCATGAAGAACTATTGTACAGTACTTTAATTTGGCAAAAGGTGCTTTTTGAAATATGAAATTAAGCTAGAAAACCATTGTCATACACATCCAGGATACCTGGGTGGTCTCACTGCAAGCCAAAGAAGTTTAATTTGTTATTGCTGTTTACATTATTTCTGCTAAAAACATGACTGTCATTTTGAATAAAATACATTGATAATACATGAAAACTATGTACAGAAGTAAAGACTTAGCCATTACATAATGTGTCAAATGATTTAATAATCATGTTTAATTTCGATACAAATATACTAAACAGACCATACTATTTATTCGTCAAAACGCTCATTTTACCATGTGCTAAGAGCCAGAAATGCTTTTAAAACCCTCTTTAAAGACTTAAAACTCTTTGGAAATTATGAATTAATGCCCGTCTAACTCCAAACACACGCCTGCCTCAACGCACAAACAAGCGGTTGCCTCCTCTATGGAGCAAGTTCATTAAGGGACTGTAATTAAGACCTTTAATTAAGACGATAATCACACGTGACAATGCACTAGCAAAACAGCCCATCTTTCAAATGAAAACATGTCAAGTGGTGTTTGCTTTATGTGTCTGATGGCTGATGGCTTGAAATATAAGACCATATGGCATTATACAGGTAAAGTCCTTTTAATAAATCAACACATTTACCGGAGTCTGCTCATGAAAATCAAATGAAAATGGTGAATGTTGAATACTAATGACATGAATGCAGACTTTTTGTACAATTTGTTCATCTGGTTTGCATAAAATAAAAAAGATTGCAGGGAGTTTGAATAAAAGCCAAAGAGAAAATATAAGGTGAAATATGATTTAGGGAAGAGAAGAGATAAAGACAGAAAGAAGCAGAATTTAAAGGGAGCAATGTGATAATAAATATAAATAGATATAAAGAGAAAAGAAAGAAAACATACAGAGAAAAGACAAAAATAGAAAAATATACAAAGATAGAAAGAGAGAGAGAGAGAGAAAGAGAAAGAGAAAGAGAGAGAGAGAGAGAGAGGGAGAGAGAGAGATTCATGAAAAGAGAGTTAAATAGAAACAGAGACAGGTTATAAACAAGCACTTACTCCTTGGATCAATATACTGCAATTACATTCAAATGTGTTGTCAGAGCAGAGACAATCCTACAAAACCATTTTGTCATACAATACAGCCAACTCAATCTCATCTTTCTATTTTCAAGTAAAACAGAGCCACGAGCCAGCCAGCATCCATATCTCCTTACCTGCTCCAGCGTGTTCTTACACGGCCCACATTCTCCCCTGTCATGTGCCGCATTGTAGGCAAAGCAACCCTCGATGGCGACAGACTCTGTCCACGTCAGCGTGCCGAGCAGACTGGCCTGCTCCCAGCTGCATACCCCCCAGCCCGGAGCGCAGAGGTGGCTGGCGTTGCCGACGTGACCCTCCCACTTCCCCGAGCAGGCCGCTAAACGGTCTTTACTCAAGAGGCCTTCTGTTGATCCGTCTGCACATCCTGTGAAGTAGAAAGATGAAATAAATATTGGCCATTACAAGATAAATTTAAGTCTGCATGTTAAATTTATGGGAACTGCAGTATGAGCATAATATCAATACTCATTCAATCTTCTTGTATATAAATTCAAGCTACATCTTGACTTCCTTGGACAAAAGACATTCACATAACAATGGTTTAGATCTGAAAAATAGTATTTTTTAAAGGATAAGATGATACATAAGATATATATATATACATGTAACATTTAAGCTTTGAATTTCAATTAGTCAAAGAATGTAGAATATAGTGACCCTCTGTTTATCCACATTTACCAATCACTGAAATTTGAAAGTTAAAAAATATAATGTGAAACATTAAAGGGTATATTCAAGCAAATATGTGTGTAGGATGAAACATAATACACTGTATATGCTAAAAATATATTTTGAGGTTTTGACAACTGGCTGCCACCATAATTATACCCTTTTAGTTTCCTTTTGGAATGGCAGGTATACAGACTTGGAGTGATTTCATAATTGAATATATCATTAATGATAATTAGCAAGGGCACAAGTACAAAATCATGAGTTTCATCATGAATGCATTTAGCATTTACACATTATGTGACTTAAAGATAAGATACATGCAGCCTTGCAGGGCAAAAATGTTCACTGAGTGATGCAGTGGCGTATCCATCGGACACAAGGGGCACTTTCAACCCATGCCAAATCCTGCCCATACTTAAAATAGCCATGCCCTTCCCTCTGGCCATACTCCTCCCCCTCAAAGTCCAATAGTAAATTTAAGAAATCTACTTGATTTATATTTCTGCTTCTCTTCTTTACCTGTAAGATATTTTTACAATAACTTGTGTGCCCCCCCCCCACCATTCCCACATAAAAAAATCCTGACTACCGTAAGCCTCTGTAAATTTTGGTGTGTATCAAACCCATGAACATAGCACCCCTTTACTTTAGTCTACTGGCTGCTACTGTAGAACCATACCTCAGCGAAGATGAACTATCTCCTATCTATCTTTCATCCAGGAGTAATCTAATCACCCCGCTACCCATCGCACCTTGAACAAATTCAGACTTCCTTCTTTCCCACCCCCAGCGCTTCCTTCATATTCCACAGCTACGTTCATATGAAAGGCACTTGGTTTGAAACTCTTAGATCATCTTTATGATTTTTTATGACCAGGGTAATAATATATATCTGTAAAGCGCTTAGACACATCGTTGTAGCGATGTATTGGGCACTATATAAAAGTGGATTATTATTATTATTATTATTATTATTATTATCTTGTAGTTAATACCATGATGAAGATGCACCCGTGGTTCTGAAACGTACAGTTTACTTGGAGTTTTAAACCAGAAGTAATTTTATGGTTAGGGCGATATTGAGCCACAGGGGCTCCTCACTCAAAGTGTTTGCAGTGTGGACACAATCAACTTTTGGGTTTCACCAGCTTGTACCAACATCTTGCTCGGTTTGCAGTTTAAAACTTTGAGCATCCTTATTTTGCTGAAGTGTAAACACATGTCACGGTCAGCTGAAAACCTTCAGATTTCACTAACTTACAGTTTTAAAATATGATAAAAGCCGTGTGAACATAGCCATATTCATCTATTAATATAGGAGGCCCCTGGAGCCACTTTGGATACTTGCTATCCTAGGAATAACGTTTTTTTTCTTTCCGAAAAAAGTTATGTCATGGTCAGAAATTAATAAGCAGGGATGTTTCAAGTCGATTTCTTAGGATGGTTGAGGGGTATCAAGGTAACACTTTAATATACTGCATCCATTTTTGGATAAATCCTGAAACATATGAACAAGCAATACAGGGATGTATATATTATCTGTTGGGAGCAAGAACTGCGTTATCACATACATTTATATACTTCATATAGAGTTAATACCCTTCTTGCTCTGAACAGATGAACGATCTAACTTTCTCCTTAAAGGTAATACAAAGTTTTGGGAAATTTTGAAAATTGGGTGGATAGTGATTCTTTATAATTTTGATATATTTGGATGCCCCTGTGGATGTATTATAAGCACTAGAAAATTTAGCACCTGAAACACTTTTGGTTTCGAGAAAAATTGAATATAAAAATTTACCGGTGCTCCCGGTAAATTTTGATAAATTTCAAACAGCGCCTACGGCCGTACAATGGTAGCTGTGACCATGAAAATCTCAGAATATGTAGTTGTGATATATAATTTCCAAACGGGAATAGCTAATCGGTCGATTTTAGTCAAGAAATATTGTTTCATAGCTAAATTAATATCTTGACCTTGAGAGGGAGCTATTCAGCATAAAAAGTTAATTAATTACAATTTCATAACTTTAGACTCGATTTCAACCGCGATAACGATCAATGAATATTGAAGGATCACATATGCTTCCAATATGTTCATTTGAACCAAATCCATGACCCCATACCAAAACTTTGTATTACCTTTAAATGATTGAAATTATCCCATTGACAATGTGGAACTGGAAAATACATGAATTCAGGGTTTCAGCCTAGATGAATGAGCTGATTTGGTAGTCAGTGGACATTTTGGTATTATATTTCTCTCTAAACTTGTTACTTATAGTCGATCCACCCCCCCCCCCCAACTCGGTGTTATTTAGGGTACGCGTATGTTTGTTCCCTCCGCTTGAAAGCACCGCCCTATATCTACGATATGAAAGTCAATACAGGCCAGACTTTGTTGTGCTAAAAAAGTATCCCTTTAATAGAGATTTTGGGAATGCGCATGTGGTCCCTTCGACCCTGGAGTGGGGGCCCTGGATCCACTCCCAAAACCAAAATTTGTATCATGAACACTATATTCTGCCCTTATATACTAGCTGCTTATTTCACAGCATGGCCATATGGTTTGTCAGATGTGGTTAGCTGTAGTTAATCTAATTACATATGACAACATCATTAACTTAAAGAGATTGCATCGACTTTGAAAAGAGATTAATATTCTACATTTGCCAACATTTGGCTGATGGCATAGTGAAATCACTTGCATAATAATACAGATTCAAAATAAGTACTAAATATACAATGGTGTAATTTTCTGATCTTGTTTTGAAATTATAATTATTGACCCAGATCTGCATTAGAACAATCCTGTCCCTTGATTAATTACCCGGTAACTTATTTTAAAATAGATTTTTAAACCTTTTCTTTTATCTTCCTCTCAGAATTTTTGCTCCTTCTTATCCTTCTTTATCTTCATTTTCATTTATTTCTTTTCTACAAATCATGACTGAATTCACTCACATTCTTTCAGAGAATAATATTTGTTGGTTGGTTTGAGATGAAATGAGTATCATTAAAAACTAAATGTATTATACCACTAAATATATCTCTAAAACGAGATAGAAAGAGAGGAGAGAGAGAGGGAGAGAGAGGGGGGGGGGGAGATTTGAGGTAGCAGTCCTCATTACGGAATCAATCATCCTATTAAGTCCGCTGTAAAAATAAACCCCTAGGAATGGATTTATCCAAATGAAAGTTTCACTACCACAAAATGCCAATCATTTTACTGATATCACATGACACTTTTTTTTCTCCACAGATCTTGTCTTGAATTTCATCGCAACAAATTGATATTTTAAGGATTAAATTAAAGCACTGTATTACACAAGAGTTGAATTTAGAACATGTAATTACATTAGTATAATGCTTTCTGCAGCAAACTCAGCTGGTAATAGAAGATACACGTTTTTAGCTAAACTGCATTAACTTTGAGAAGTACAAAAGTTGATAAATAACTTTTTGAATAAAAACATATACCAGTATTCAAAATGAAATAGAAAAAGAAATGCTAAATTATAAGATTATAGCCTTTAAGGACAGGGTTGTATATTCATTTCTCAATTTGATTCTCTCTCTCTCTCTCTCTCTCTCTACATTATCTCTCTACTGGTAAAGAAAAAAAATGACGCTACGTTGGGTACTCTGTTCACTGTCTCATTAAAGAATATTTGTTATGTAAGCAACCAAACTTCTAGCAAACACAATGTATTATGTATATGAACATTAAAATATATAACATTCTTATAATCTGTTTGCAACACAGTTATTATTTAAATATTAATTATTTAATCATACTTTAAGGGTCTGTAGTAAGAAATAAAATGGTGAAACAAAACAAAACAGCAGAGTGACTCATATACAATACATTTGTAATATTTTATGAGGCGAGTTTTCCCTTCACAATCCTCATACATGCATACTTATCAATCAGCGGTTGAGAATGTAATATTAGTCGTTTACATTGCTATATGTCAGAGTAGATATGTTCACAGAGAGCGATATACAAGCAAGGGAATCAATAGAAGGCGCGTCTTCATCATCTCGAGATTGCCAAATAGCCCGCTATTTTTGATTTGGGAAATAATCCTGAAGTTACAAATCGCGTCTCCATCAGCTAGAGATTCAAACTCGAAACTTGAAACTCAACCTTGAGAAATTAGCTCGAGATATTTTGCTCAGTGTTAGCGCATAATGTGAGTCTTCGGTCTGGTGAAGACGCACCGGACAAATAGCTGGATATTTTGCCAAATAGTGGGATATTTTGCAAACTATCCCAAGATATCTTGGGATGATAATCCCGACCAAATATCCTGCTAATTGCTACTTCGGTCTGATGAAGACGCAAATTAGCTGGATAGTTTGCGATCGGGATAGTTCAAATAGCTGGATATTTGGCAATCTCGAGAAAGTGAAGACAGGCTTCAAGAGAGCTTTTCCCAGGTTGCCTGAAATGAAGAAGCATGCGGAATGCCGGCAAGTAACGTAAGATGGTGCACCGACTCTGCCAATGAAAGATAATTCAGAGTTTCATGTTGGGTTCAAAGCTCCGGAATCGTAGGAAAGATTAGAGAAATAGGAGGTATTGGACGTAGAATGACGATTGACGAACACATGTCTGGTATAGATTTCACAACAAGTAGCCCGCTTTGATAACTAGATATGACTATATGCAATGCCGTTCATCGTGAT